GATGTAGTTATTCTGAGAGTAACGTAGCAAGCAAATTGATACCGTTGTGAATGTCAACTATCACCTCAAAATGGTCGTTGAATTTCAAAATTAAAAATTTCTGACCGGCCACGACAGCGACGCGATGCGTAATGAAAGCTTTATTTCAGGCCAGATTTCTTGGATGTACACATGGCGGATATATGTATGGATATTATTAAACTAGAAATTATTTAAAAAATGGTTACTGTTGAACTTCATTCTCCTTCATCTCTGATGGACCTTTTCTCAGCTAGACTGTTAGACTCTCACCTTTTTTAGGCTTTTAAATTTATTTAATTTATTTTAGCTTGAAAACCTTGACTCTTGCTATACATTTATTTATTTTTGTACTTATATAAAGCTAATTAATAGTGTACAAACTATGAGCTAACAAAGTGTGTGTAATGAGCAATAGCTTCTTAGGCCTTCAGCTCGGTGTTTTTACATGGCTGCTTAATACTAGTTCTTAAAGTAAGTTATATTTTGCTTTCCAAGTTTGTAATTTTCAAAAGCGTACTATAAGGTTGAGGTTTTGACTTTTGTAAAGTTTGTAAGAAGAATTGGGGAAGATGGGAGCTCTGTTGTGGGAGGAATAAGGACAGCATTTAAAAATGTGTTCAATATTAATGGTTGGATTATTGCAGTAGGCCCAACAGCTGATTAGATTTTTGTCTAGGTGATGTGCATTTGTTGGTTTTGTGTGTCCTAGGCGAATTCTGTTTTTTACTTGTTGTTTTCTGGGGAGATTGTTTTTCGAAGTAGATATTTAGAAGGGATGCTGTGTATTTTTTGGTGTTTTTTCTTTGAGTTTGCTGTTCTTTATTGAGTAGGTTCCTAAGGATTGAGATATGTCTTTGGTGTGGTTATTGGGAGTGTAGATGAAGTGCAATTTATGAGTGTGTTTGGCAGCTTGATCTGCCATTTCGTTGCCTTTGATCCCCATGATGCTGTACCCAATCAGAATTATTTTATGGTAATGATCAGTAATAAGGTTTCTTGTTAGTAGGGTGTAGTAGGCATGGTTGTTATGATTGGTGAGGGATTTAAATGCTGAGAGCAAGTCGGAGCCAATGGCATATATTCCGTGTTTTTTATGCATTTATATTTTTTCGGTTGGGTAGAGAGAGAGAGAGAGAGAGAAAGACAGTTACCAAGGCGTTCCCCTCCCTGTGGGAAAGCTCTTCACCCGTGAAGATATAAACAGATCCAACATTCCGAGGAATACAAAGAAAGAGAAAAAGATAGGTGGTGCGCTACAGATATCCACAGATCCAGCATTAAATATAAATAATAATAATTCTATATTGAACGTCGGTCGCAGCTGTTCTCCAAAAGTATTTGTGGTCCCGCCTCTTCTGGGTCTGAATCCGCTGCTATGAGATCATCGCGGAATAATGCCCGCCCTTCCCCTACCTGGAGCAAGACTTTTCTACAAAAAAACTAAGCATTTGCATAACTAGCTGTAAAATTGTTAAAAATTAACAGGGCAGTCTCGGGCGATTGGCTGGATCCGAGTTCGAATCGGAATCCGCAAAGCGAATGATCAGACAGAATAGACGGACACTGTTTGGGCGAGCAGAAACCTGTTCTAGGCGGTGGAAGAGCCACAAAAAGACACAAAACAAAAAGGAACCAGCCGAGCCGCGCTGCTGTTGGTCGCATCATTGGACCACCTTGACGGCCCCAGCCCCAGTACCAGCCCCAACCCGGGCTCCAACTCCCTCTCCGGCCAAAGATCCACACGCGGTGCGTCGCTAGCTCTTGTGCAGCTCTTTCCGGCGAACACAATTGGATTGGGTAACTTTGAACTGGTCGTCGCATCGGTCGGGGCCGGGGCCGGGTGTCGTCCGCTATGGTGTCCAAATTGATGTTTCAATAAAGCCTATAAATTTATGACTAACGAACCAAGCGAACATTCTCCCATGCCGATTGCCCATTTCCATTCCGGTTGCGCCGCTGATGAAGACGCGCTGCGGTGGAGGTAGGCAGTGGTGCGGTGCGGTGCGGTGCAGATGGGCGAGGTGTAACGGTGACAACGAGTAGGTGTCGCCATCGGTGCCACTATGAATTAATTTGGACAATTTACGAGCCAATCGCGACGACCGACAACCGCCTCGGAATGTGCTTAGCGGCCACCCCTGGTGGTCTATGGCTTGTCTATTCGTAAATTGAATTATAATTTGATACCCGACTCTCTGACTTGGTTGGGGTCTCGATCTCGCTGGCATATATTACCGATTGATCGCGCCACATAAATCTGACACTAGCGACACAATTAGCACGGCCTGCGGCCACACACTCACACTCATACATGCCCCTGTCCCTGTCCCTGTACCTGTATCTGTTCCCGTCCCCTCCTCGTTCCACTCTTGGCTCCGACTGGACTATGACTGTGGAAGGAGCCACCCAAAAGTGACAGCCGCCACAGCAAAATGTACATAAATAGTTCGCATTTCCGCAGATAAGCAGAGTGTACAGGAGAGCGCGCCGCATCATAAATACTCTGAGACTGCGTTCCTTTCCATTCAAAGCCGCAAAAGGAATTCTGCTGAAATTCGGCTGACTGGCCAACTGATCCTCCTATACGTAATATTATGGAAAGTTTCAAAGTTTCAAATCAATCAGTGTTACGTCCTGAGCCTGTTCTATCGATGGTTTACTAACCCTTGGACAATATTCCTAGGTTTAAGTACTAGTACCCCCTTTTAAAACATTTGGAAAGCCATCGCTGGCTCCAGAGCTGTCCACATGCCGCAGCCTGGCCATGGAGCCTGGAAATGTCTCATTTAAATACCTTGCATGCATTTAGTCATACTTTTTGTCCCAACTTGGTACCGGTACCGATCTCCTCCCGCCCCTCCTCATCGAACCACTCCGCTTTCGACTGCCGCGATCTTGCTTCCACTTGCCAGGCATGCGCCTCTGGGCAGGCAGCGAGAATCAAGCAGCGCATCGGGAAGTCGCGCCGCGACGACGTCAACTTAAGTGGCCAACCGTGGACACCAAGAGCAACCATAGGCCATCCTCTCAGAATCTGCATCTGCTTCTGCTTCTGCCCCTGTCTTGACTCCGTGAGTGTCGAGTATGTAAATCTGCCGCTCCATTGCCATTCCAGAGTTGCCATTGCACTCGCCCCGGTGGAGGTGATCGATTTTGTTCAAGTCACTTGTTGTTTGCAGTCTGTAGTCTGCAGTCTGCAGTTTGCAGTTTGCAGTTTGGCTTACGCGAACTACCAATTGTTCTGGGATCGAATGAAGGGACTGAAAACTATCAGGAGTAGGAGTCGGTGGTGGGGGTGGATCAGATCCGTCTGCAGAGTTAGACTCATTTATTTGACAAATCTGAATGGAGCCGCTGCGGATTCGTGTCTTCGACCGAGCACATCTTGAGTTTTAATTAATTCAAATGCAATTCGAACTGCTCTCCGAGTGATGTTGTGCTGATTGAAGCTGAAGGCCAGCACGTGAGTGGAGGAGCCACCACATGCTCCCTCTCGAGTGGCAGATGCACAACGAAGCAGCAGACAAAGCCAAGACAAGACAAGCAAAGACGTTCGCTGTGAAGAAGGGTGGGGCGGTGCGGGGCGGGCAGACACCGACGGACGTTCATTCAGCAAACGTAAACGTTTGTGATTTGTAACGATTGTGCAGTACATAAATCAGTCATGGATTTATTGCGAGAAATGAAATTTGCCGGCTGCTCCGACTGCTCCGACTGCGCCAACTGCGCCAACTGCTCCCCATCCCCATCTGCCTCGAATCCGTCTGCTTCTGGCCCATCGCAGTGAACGTTTTTAGCGGTGCGGTCGTGAGTGGCGCTGCGTGTGGGTCGCATAAATTTCACGCTTTGCGCAGGCGCTGCCACAAATCGATGTTCTCTTTTGTCTTGTCCCCGCTCTCTTCCCGCTCTCTTTTCGGATCTTCTCGGATCGTCGTGGTTTTATGAGTCACGCTGCTGGCTGAGGTTCACACACACACACACACACATCCATCTATGTGCTAGTTAAGTGCGGACGGGACTGGACGGGACAAGACTGGCACTGGCACTGGACCACTGTAACCGTAACCAGGAAGTCGGATGCAGAGCCCAGGCCAGTCTGGCCCTAAATGTTACCCTGCAGCGACTGACCATTAGGCCGAGGCTTACTCACGAGTCTCGGGTTTTAGGAGTGCTCTTACCGCCCAGCAACCCCCCTGCCGGACGGCGCAGACGGGACACGCAATGCTGCTAATTGTCCACAAAATGCCAGGCCTGACTGAAGCACTCAAAGCTGAGGCACGTCCCAGGCCCCAGCCGAAACTGAAACTGAAACAGAAATAGAAACCCCAGACAGTGCCAACAAATCTAAGCGACCGGTGCCCGGTGCCCGGTACCCGTCCACTCTGCATTTGCCATCATATCTGATTGCATGACAGTTCTCAATTACTTTTCCACAAAGAAAACGCTTTCAATTGGCCAACCGACGAAATATGAAAATATTTAGTTACGAAACCAGCCACCAATTGTGTAAGAAATTATGTGAGCAAGGAGATTCGAGATCGACTTCGAGCTTCCTCCGATCAACAAATATTATCTCTTAGCCGTATTAGTGAATTAATTCTTGGGCAAATACTTTCAAGTGAAAGATTGAGGAATATTCAAAGGAGACTCGAATGGAAGGGAACCCCAAGCACATATGACCTATCCCTGTTTCGATTCGCAGTGAGCAGTTTAATATTGATTTCTTAAATTGAACAAGCGCACATTTGATCAATTGCTCGAAGCAGGCTGAACAGCTGGGCTACTGGGAATGGGAGGCGCTTCATCAGATAAGGTTCGTAGAAGTTGTGGCTTGGGTGCACTTAGAGATTGGGGTATCTTCCAGTTATCATTTGACAGGCATGAGCCGCATATCGCAAGCCATTGAATATCAACAACGTATGACAATTGGTCGCCTCACCGCTCTCGCTCACAAAGTAGGTGATAATAATACAGAGCTATTATTATTTTTATATTTTTATATTTTCCTCTAAACGGGTATTTGGGCCTCATAAAATGCATTCGGATTGAGGCATAGCTCTGTTTTGTAATGCGTCAACTTGGTCTCACAGATGACGGCACCCCAGAGAGTGCAGTTCCTGACGGTCAAGCGGTGCGGTTCCAACACTACCTCTCCCGTTTCCATGCTGAAGTTGGCGGTCAGACTGAGGCAGTCACCGCTGGCCTTCTTAGGCTGTCCCGTGGCCCAGGGAAGGTAGGTGGCCTCTTTGCCCGTGCTCTGCCAGAAGTAGTTCGTCTGAGCGTTCCCCAGACTATTGCCAGATGTCCAGAGCTCCAGCTCGGAGGACGCGAACTCCGGTAGGAAGCTGTTGATTAGGTTAAACTCCGTCAGGTTCCGAATACTAAGCATGCTGGCGTTAAGGGTGCGGCAGTAGCGGTCGCCCTCAAACCAATTCTTCCAGCTGCCTTCCACCAACAGACACTTGTCCCCCACTCGGCTGAAGCTCGTGGGGCAGCTCGTCGTGGACTCCTGGTTCGCTGCCAGGTGGACTCTGGCCAGGCATAGGCTGACCAGTGCAAAGGAAACTATCTTGGGCCACAACATTTTTTCTAACTGACCAGAGACTGGCTCCCCCCATCTCTTTTATAGGGCTGATCAGCTGGGGGCACGTATAAGTTATCAGTCTGATAAGCGGTGTGATTTATTAAGTATACGTCGAAAGCGCTTACGAACTCAACTGAGTTATCTGCTGGACTTGGGGCTTAGTAAACCATATCAGAGGGCACCCACATTGGCCACCAGTGTCAGAGTCGCTTCTTCAGACGTCTCTCACTTTCTCACTTTGTCACTTTTCCTTTGCTGAAATAAAATCATCTGAATGCTGTATGCTGTCTGCTGTGTGCTGTCTGCTGTGTGCTGTGTGCTGTCTGTATGCGTCCCCAACCAACGAATTCAAAACAAAGCAAAACAAAACTGTACTTTGCCGCTCAAGGAACACCTTCGACAGTCTGGCGAATGGAATCTTTTCAAAACTAATCCTTAAGCGGGTTCAGTGCACTTTCGATTTCCCTTTTTCTGATGTGGCGGGGTTGTCTAACAGTTAGTGAGGCACAGTCCCGTTAGCTTTTGGCCCGAGGAGAAAAACAATGTATAATTTATGGCTTGGAGACTTGGCCTAATCCCTGGCCTAATCGTCTCTGCCTTGACTTCTCCATACCAACACGAACACGAGAGAGAGAGATACAGAGAGAGAGAGAGAGAGAGAGAGAGAGAGACGAGGGTCCACATTTCGCTTTCTTGGGAGCTCGCCCCCCGTTTATCGTCCGTTTATTTTTGTTTCAGTTTTTGCCTTCATAATTTATTATCGCCTCAAAAGCATCTCAATTATGGTTCCTGACCAGACATGAAGCCCAACCAGAGAAGCCTCGCTCACAGTTCCAGCTTTCCTCCCAGTCGTATCGGTGGGGCACTATGCATAGTACGTGGATACTATACAGAGTTCAGAGCTATCTGAGCTATCTGAGTGTTCGTTTCGGAAATCTGCGGAGGTAATTACAAAGCTTTTACAAAACTTTATTCAATTAAACGCGCATGATGGTGTCGCAAGCGGCCAATGAATGCTAAGCGGGTCTCTGGCCAGCTCCCAACTCCCAGATTTTGGGACAGTGGATCTGCGGGAAGATAGACAGAGACAGAGATAAAGACATGGAGAGGCGGCTTCGATTTCATCCTCGTAGTCGTGACGTGGTTTTGATTGCCCCGAGCCCCAACGCAGACAGACAAATCCGCACCCGTCGCTGCCCACCAATTGCTGCTATTGTTGTAAGTTTTTTCATTCTCGCGCCTCAATAGGCAATCCGAGACACGGCCAGACGGCGACCAGACCGCCATTTGCACACTTTTACTTTCGAGATCTCTCCCATTCGCCGGGAGATTCTCCGCTGCCACCCCGACCTCAGCCGGAACTATAAATTCGAGTGCCGCACCATTAGTGTCTCCCGGCCCGGATTATCGCAGACAAATTGTCGTCATGTCTGGACGCCGCGGTCTGCATTTCAATTCAATTGATTTTGGTTATTTAGGGGAACCATGACCCAAAGACATGTGACTTGTGGCCTGTGGCCTGCGGCAGGTGCCGCACTTGCAGCTCTGCATATTTAGAATTGCCTCTGGCTATTTGCGTTGCTTTGATTTATGCCTTTTTCTTTTCATGTATCAAAACTCAAGAATTCATTGACTGACTGAGCAATACGTGGGAATGTTGCAGTGTTTGAATACATTTAAGTCGACTTTTGGATACCTCGTGTCGAATGCGTACAAGGGATTAATCTGTATGCCAATAATAAAGGAGAAGGGAATTTTAATGAACAAGTACTTTCCCAAATGAGCAACGATCAGAGACCAGCGATATTCCACACGAAGGCTGAGACCACTGCGAGAGTTGGCGGCTTATGCTATCCGTATCTTTCCCTACTATGTGTTCCTGTAGGCCCTTTGACCGCCCAGTGCTACAGGGTAGCATCAACGAGAGTCAACCCATGCCCGGGCGGCATTAGAAATTCCAAGCAGAGACCCTGGCCTAGGCATAGTCGCTGTCGCAATCGGTGATATTTATTGTTGTTTTCCTGTCAAGGGAAGTGCCCCCAGCCCCCATTCCCCCCGATCCGCCCCCCCAGCTCACGCATAACTCTGTCCGAGAAACGGACTGTCGATGAGAAACGGCTTCCATTTCCTCTTTTTCGATTGATATCTCTCGATGTACTCGCATTCTGTGCGTGGATGGGTCTGGGGTCTGGGGTCTGTGGAACAGTGGGTATGCCAAAACTGCAAAATTCGTGTAGTTCGTTTCATTTTCGGTAAACGTCGCAGAAGGAGAGCGGCAGGAAGGTACACGCATAAATATAAGGACAGAAATGTGCTAATTACACGCACTCGGCAATCGTTAATTGAAGTTGTCAAGCGGGGCATGCCACAAGTTATGCGCGGCATTGCCATGCGATGAGATCGGTTCAATGCGGTTCGCCTCAGATGAGATGGGATTCAAGGGAAATCAAAAGCGCAAGGGAAATGGCGACATGGAGACATGGACACATGGACACATGGACACATGGAGGCAGAGACAGAGACACGTTTACGCTGCTCGTACAGGGACAGGGCGACAATGTTGCCGCCCCAATTATCTGTGAATTGAGCTAAAACCAACGAAAATGTTCTTCTCTGCGAATGGCGCCATTAATTACCGCAGAAGGGATGCATTTCTTTATAATTAAGCGGGTGAATGACACAGCGCAGGCAGCTGCTCCTGCTCCTGCTCCTGCTGCTACCGCATGTCTGTGTCCACCGTCACCGCCTCGGTGGCCACTGGTTGTGTCGTGGTCCTTCCTCCCATCGTACAGCATGGCTCCTCCATTAGCCGGAGTGGTGCAGCGACTAATAGAGAAACATTACTCATGCACAGCAGGACACCGCTGTGGCCGCAGAGCCGCAGAGCGTCTAGCTGGCACGGGCACAGGGCACGGGATGCAGTCAGGCTAAACATGCAATTGAGAAATTTATTAAAAATCATTTTCATTAATTTGGTTATTTATGCACAGGATCAAACATTCAATTAGGCAGATGTTATAAATCTCGTATTCATTTTTCACATTCCCCGAGACACGCATGGTCCCTATAAATCACCCATGTGTGTGTGTGTGTGTGTGTATATATCTATGCTCGAATGGATGCTGCCCACGGCACACTCACAGATGCATCTACAGAATGTGGCTGTGGCAAATGAAGTTGCAGTTGTAAATACGAATTCTGATCAATGGTATGATGAAACAAATTAGCAACAATTTTCAGTACTTAGATACTCGCAAACTCCGCTTCATTCCCCCGTCCAATTCTCCTCGGGAGGGGGGAGCCTTTGCCTTTGTCTTCTCTAAGTTTGCGGAAAAGTCAAGCGAAAGGTTAAAAGTGAAATACATATCTCCCGCTGACTTGTAACAATGTCAAAATGCTTTATGATTCCGTTTTTGCTGTGGTTGTTGCGGGCTATGGCTATGGGTTTTTTGCAGTTCGATTTCATGGTTATTGTTCGGTTTCCACTGTCATGTTGCTGGGCACGAAAAAACGAGAGTAGCGAGATGCACAAAAGCCGATAAATGAAACAAAAAGGGTAAATCAATGCATTTGGGCCTTGAACGACGCTGAGATGCTCTCAAAAACTATGAACTTGATGGCACAGCACCGATTTTTATTCGCACCATGTATGTAGCGGCTGACACCCTTGCAGATCGAACGTTATGTGTGAGCTATAGTCCTACGACTTTGGTTTTTTGTGGATGTATGTACATATCTACTTATGAACTGTACAATAGGCAAAACATTTTAATATTTCATACAAATTCTCAAGCCTACAATGACCTCCTCTCTTCTGCCCCGCTCCCCCGCTCCCCACGCGACTTTATCGAAAGCAACATAAAATATATTGACAACAGCAGATCAGTTAACGAGTTGCCAGCAACAGAGAGCCAAACAAATTTGGGACATTTATTGAACCTCCGAGTTGACCCGCTTTGGGAAAAGCTGCAAAAGCAACCCCGCCGAAATGGACCCAAATTAAATCTCAGCCTCAGCTGCAACTTTGTCGAATCCACTCCGCGCATTAGTCGAGGCCAAAGCCAGAGCTGAGGCTTGATCTCTGGCGAAAGAAGGAAGCCAGCAAAGGAGTCAGGAGGCTGACGCCGACGCCCGCCCGGCCACACCGAAGCTTATCGCCGGCCACATCGAACTTTGGTGAGTAAACAAGACAAGACAAGACCACGGCAGAGGCAGAGGGAGACCAGACCATACCAGACCAGTCCAGTCCAGGCATAGGGAGTAGGGGACTGGGGGCGGCTTACATGTTCCGGCTAGATCATATAAATGGAACCTAATAAAACCAAAATAAACGCGGGCTGCCTTGGCCTGGCACCGTTCTGGCCAACATCATCAAAAGCTCAGCCGAAAGGGGCGTGGCGCTGCCTTGTCAGCACGATCAGGCCTCCAATTGAGGCTTTATGCAATAAACTTTATATAAATGTTTCTTTTCGGTATAATAAATTGCATAGAAACATAAATTTAATATTTAACGCCCCGCCGCAGCGAGACGACAATTAAGACGTCACCTAATGGGCGGGAGGGAGGTAGAAGGAGAGCTCGGACAACATGGCGTTCGGTAATGCAATCGCCACACCCCCACCCCCACACACTCCACCCTGCGAAACAATTAATGGCGCCCGTGCTGGCGACTTTTCGCACTCTCACATCTGTCAAGTGGCGGCAGAAGAAGCAGCGGACGCGCCCTTGGCCAAGGGCCCGCTACACGTGTGTGTGTGTGTGTGTGTGTTTGTGTGTGCTGGTAGATGTTTGTTTGGTTTGCGCTTTGCGCATCCCTCAAACCATAACCAAGGTACATTGAACAGAAGGTTTACCCACGCAAGAAGGAGCGAGGGAGCGTCTCACCTTCGACTGAATGCAACTTGGCCATAACTCGCCGCGCACTCTGGCCTCATGCCTCTGTTGGCATTGGTATTTGTGGGTATTTGTATGTCTACTTGTCCACGGAGCCAGCGCGCGCTCTTCCCGCTGATTGATGG